AGTCCTCCCAAATGCTAAGCACATGCTTTACCACTGAGCTACACCTGTTACTATTATTCTTTAATGCTAGTAGCAACTACTGATGTCATGACGCACTATGGCTCTTGAGTGAACCACAAATGGTTCATGGGTATGTGGAAATATGTGCTCATAGAGATCTCTGCTAGGCCACTAGAGAGCACAAAGAAGAGACCTCCACAGGCTTCCCTGTGGGTTCATGTTAGTGTGACTCAGTTTGGCTATGAAAAAAAAGTAACTCTTTTTTCTCTGCTCAGGATCACAGTTCTAAAAGCAAAATTTCAAATCATACATTTGTGTAAGTGCCTCTACATTTCCTCTGCTTGGAACACAAATACAAGGAATAGAAGTAACATTCATTCAAGAACCAAAGTTGGCCAAGAGTGGCCAGGCTTTGCTCCAGCCTGTACCCCAGGCCACAAGGAGACAGATGCCAACACACTTTTTGAGAACAGTGCTGTCTGTGCATTATATGTTGACAGCAGAATTAGATGGAAAGCTCCTTTCCAAATCACCCCAATCCCTGTGAGTGTGTGTGTGTGTGTGTGTGTATACATGTGCACATCCTTGAGTGGTGAGATCATCCATGTGAAACCACCACAGAGGAAGCTCTCAAAAACAGCCAGCGAGGCTTCTGAGACAAAGTGTTTCCCAAAGATCAAGCTTTGGGATTTTAAATACTGTAAGGTAAGCATTTGTATGGAAAATTTTTCAAATAGGAAAAACATGAATTGTTTTCTCTAAATTTTCTCTCCCCTTTCTTGAAAAGACAAATACAGGAGGCCATAGCATTCCTATCTGGAGCAAATACTGGGTCCAGAAGTCTCTTTGGGAGCCGATGGGCCCATCTGATTCACTGGCTTTCCCCTCAAATCTCGGTTTCTTTTAGCAGACCTGAGAAGCACAGCTTTGAATTTGCTTCTCATTTAGAGCCATGCTTGCTTTTAGAACATTACTAATATTCACAAACAATTCCAGTTCTTCTTTCTCTTTGGGCACACAGTGTCAGGGGAAGGGGGTACACTTTCCTGACTCAGTAAACTGAGGTGTAACCACAGGACTTTTGTGCCAATAAATGTAAGTGGCAACATGCGTCACATCTGTCCATCTCTGTTGCCACAAACCCCGGACCCCTGCATTTGGATAACAGTGTCTTAAAATGGTAGAGCCTTCCTCCGCCTGGGTCCTTAGATGGCTAGAAGGAACAGAGCTCCCCACTGAGCATGAGCAAGAAATAAACTTGTGTAAGTCAGTGAAGTTTGAGGGTTATTTATTACCACAGCAGAACATGGCCCATCTTGACCAGTACACATAGTTTTGCTTAGCAGAATCCATGGCACATAACATTTACTAAGGTACTAATCAGCCAATAATGTGGGAGAGCTTTAATGAACTCAAAATGAGAACTTTTCCTTCCATGATCTCTCATGAGAGCTCATAATGGCCACAAATTCACTGGAAACTCATTCCTGGCATCATTGGATCTGTTTGGCAGTAAGTAGCTCCCACATTCCCATAATTCTACTGGGCTGGGGAACTATAAAAATCCATCTCTCAGGAGGCTATTTTAGTGTCGATATTTGTTCAGAAACATCCAGCCAAGCAAATGCTTATTACAAAGCTGGCCATCTAACTACCCAGGCAGAAGTAGAACAGCATCTTGAGGCTGACTTTCATGAACTCACTCCAAATGAAAGGAAAGACCCTCTCAGAGGCAGCATCTTGCTACCCAGGCTGCAGGTCTGCTATAGGCTTCCATGGTCACCCCAATGCAGAGATCTGCTCTCCTGGATTCTCAGGGCCTTCACTCAGTTTCCGTGGCCACAACACATGGTTTGAGTAAACATTTCTGACTTCAATGGATTCTCTCATTTGAAAAGTGAAACATTTGGAGAATCAGTTCACTTTAAAACATTAAAATGAATCAACAGATTTAGAGCTTCAAGTATTATGACCAAATGAAAACAAGTCACAGCCAAGGATTTAGCTCAGTGATGATGCCACCTGCCTCAAAAGTGCAAGGACCCGAGTTCAATTCCCAGTACCAAAAAAAAAAAAGAAAGAAAGAAAACAAGCCACAACTTAGGGACCTCGTTTTCCACCCATAGGAAAAAGAATGACTACTTCAAAAAAATTATTTGAGATTTAAATGTAGGATAATATACATTTTTTTTTTTTTTTTTGCAGTGCTAGAGACGGAACCTAGGGCCTTGCACATGCTAGGCAAGTGCTGTACCACTGAGCTACACTCCCAACCCCAAGAGTATATTTTAAATAATAGTATTTGATCAAAGATAAAAATCCTGATTTTGATGATGGTATGGTAAAAGAATATCCTTGTTCTTAGGAAATACACAATATTAAGTATTGAGGGATGAAGGCTCATGATATTAGCAACTAAAACTATTAGTAAAAAAATAATATGGAAAGAAAAAGAATGATGGGCCAGGGATTTAGCTCAGTAGTTCCAGCGCCTGCCTCACAAGCACAAGGACCTGAGTTTGATCCCTGGTAGAAAAAAAAGAATGAAAAAAAGACTTCAAATATGTAAAGAGCTAACAATCAAGAAGCATAGGTGAATGGCCAAAGTGATCATTCTACAATTCTTACAACTTTTCTGTAGGTATGAAATTTTTCAAAATAAGTTTTTTAAAGCATGCTCCAGATAAGTGCCTTTCACATCTTTTAAACACAATTCCAAATAAAATATGAATTGTACACAGCAACCCAGTACACACACATACACATACAACTTGAACAGATGCATACAAATTAAGTAAAAAGTTTCACAAAACAATGCTTACTTATATTACATGTGATGCTCTGTAACTTTTCTATTCTATCACATTTTTACTATCGCCATTTGTGGTTCTAGGGATGGAGCCCCAAGCATTGAACATACTAAGTTCATGTTCTCAAATTGAGCTGCACCCCCAGCCACATGGGTTTTTTGTTTTTGTTTTTGTTTTTGTTTTCAAAATGCTGGCCATCATCTTTTCAACTGATCCATTCAACTGAGTTGAAGATCACTAATGGTCAAAACCCATTCAAACACTCCTACAACAGTTCTCATAGTTGGTATTATTAAGAAATACTGTTAGCTGGGCACAGAGGCACACACCTGTAATCCCACCTACTGGGGAGGCTGGCACAGGATCAAAATCTCAAGCCCAGAGCCAGGGATTTAGCTCAGTGGTTCCGCCACCTGCCTCGAAAGTGCAAGAACCCCAGTTCTAAAAAAAAAAAAAAAAAAAAAGTCAAGCCCAGCCAGTGCAACCTGGCTGTCTCAAAATTTTTAAACAAGTGCTAGGGATGTAGCTCAGTGGTAGAGTGTTTGCTTAGCATGCATGAGGCCCTCTCTGAGCCTCAGTACCATTTAAAAGAGAAAGGAGGAGGAAGGAGAGAGGGGAGGAGGAACTGTTGCCCTGAAAAACTGACAACATGGTGCACCCTGAATCTGTGTGGGTTTTACAAATTCACCTTTCCAAATACAAAGTGAGGAAGAAAGTCAGGACATTTAAGATTGCAGGTTTCCAAAATGTTAACAAACACAGTTATCAGTGCACATGATATAGGGAATAGCTTGAGCAAGTATTTAGCAAACATATGGCACTGTTGTTGACTTGACTGCCTTGTACTTGTGACCAGCTCGGGAAGAAATGGGTGTTGGAAGATGGGAGAGCCAGCATGGGGAGGGGGAACTATGCTGTGGATGGAACCCTGGGCCTTGCACATGCTAGGCAAGTGTTCTACCACTGACCTGAACCCAGAGCCAGCATTTAGAAAGCAGCCTGCCAAGCCTACATTTGCATTCAGGCACAAGTGCTGCTGATCCCGAGACTGACCAGTCAACCTCTGCTCACGTTCACTGTAACCCTGAGAAAAGCTGGGCTACTGGGGCCCCTGCAGTGAGATTTGCAGCCCTGCCCTCAGATACTGTACACTCAGAGACCCTGAGTCCCCACCACAGGTGCCGGCCAGCCTTTGTTCTGGCGAGCAGGCCAGGAGGCTTATAGCTGGCTAGCTGCCACCCTGAGATATCCCTGTCTCTCTTCTCACTCTGCTTCCTTCCTGCTTGGCCATTAGCCCCAAAGCACGCAGCTTATAATAATTTCCACGCCTAATAATGTCTCTGTCTTCTGAGCACTGTTAGTACAAAACACTTAGCAAAGAGGACTTTGTGGCCTCCTCGGATTCACAATACCTATTAGCACATGAAAGACTAAAAGTCTTACAGTAGAGAAACTGGTTTAGCACTTAATTGCCCCCACCCATACACACACTCTGGGGACTGAACTCAGGGCCTTCCCCTCAGCTACATCCCCAGCCCTTTTTCAGAATTTGAGACAAGATCTTGCTAAATTGCCCACACTGGCCTTGAGCATGTCACCTTCCTGCCTCAATCTCCCAAAAGACTGGAAACTTTTTTGTTTTTTGTAGGATTTTGCAGATTAATTTGTCTACAAACACATCCTGTTGCATTAAGGTTCCTTTGTGGCTATGGGCAACCCTGGAAATAAATATGGTGTAAGTGATATGGATCTTTGTTTCAAATGCCTCTTCACACATCTCAGATCCCAGGAACCACCTCATACCCTCTTAGGTCTAATTTTCCCTCCCATTTCCTTTCTGTCGTGGCCTACCCACCATCCTGAACCCTAGTGTACCCAGGCAGATATCTAGGGAGGAGGAGGATTTGGTAAGAAAGGAAGGATTAGACTTAATGGGTTATCCCACCAGGAGAACTGGCACAGTTGATCGTTCTTAGCCATGGATTGCCTCTAACTCAGGCATCACAGGCACTGCTGCCTGGAAGATGGGTGAAAGAGGTGGATGCAGCCCTAGGGACTTCAAATTCCTAGCCTTCAAACCCAAAGGCCCATGATCCTTCTTGTTTCTCTTTTCCAAAGGATGCCCATGTGAGAAGAGCAGAAATCCATGACCACCCCCAGCCTGGTGCCAAGTCCCAGGGTTCTTCTCTGCCTAGGGCCATCTGTGGAGGCAAACTCTTCCTCCACTAGAATTTTCCCAAGTGGCCCTCATCCTGCTCCCTAAACCCAACTTTCCCCCTTTGGCCAAAGCACTTTGGGCAGCCCTGGAATGGCAAGGGTCAGTTTCTCCACAGGCCACATGTCACATGCTGGGCCACACCTAGCAAAAGACAAGAGGCAAAGAGAAATGTGCCCTTGTGGCCCAAGTTTCCAACCCCACAGGAGGAAAGGGTGTAGGTCCACGAGGCGTTGGCCAGGCCGGCCGTAGAGTTGGTCCCCTCCTCCACCGGTACCCTCGGGGCCAGCAGCTTGGAGAGGAGGCTGGCGAATCTGCTCACGGTGGTAGCCACCGGCTCCGGGGACGGGCCCAGACTAGACGCCAAGAGGTCCAACTCCATGGGGTCCAAGCACAGGCCATCAGAGGAGCGCTCGAAGACCACTTGGCTGAGGTCCAGGCCGGCCACAGAGGGTGGGGAGGCGCATGGCACGTCGGCGACGCCACCAGAGACCTCTATCCAGTCCCGCAGCCACTCCAGGTGGCAGTCACAGCGCCACGGGTTGCGGAAGAGGAAGAAGTGGCCCAGGAAGAAGCCGGGCTGGAAGGCGGCCCAGGAGAGCATGGTGAGGCGGTTGCCATTGAGGTGCAGCGCCAGGAGGCCCGAGAGGTTCTGGAAGGCACCCTCCTCCACGAAGGCGATGCTG